ACGCCAAAATCCAGTGCAGGTTTATGCGTCACAATTTCAAAATCAATGCTACGTATGTTCGGGTAGTCATCTAGTATTTGCATGCGATCAATTAATAGGCGCTAACGCCGAGGAGCGAAATAGGATCGTCAARGAAGCAGGATTATGTATAAATTGTTTGCGACCTGATCATARGGCTGAGGATTGTCGGTCTAGTTATTGTAGAAAATGTGGGAACAAGCACAACACGTTATTACATATAGACGAACTAATCTCAACGGTGCAATGCTCATACGTTAAAATCAATCATGCACCTCTACCTACATTATTGTTAACCGCTGTGGTTTCGTTATTAGATCGCGACGGTATTCCACACAAGTGCCGCGTACTCCTAGATTCAGGCGCCGAGGCTAATTTCTTAACTTTCGATTTTGCCAGCAAACTACGAATCGCATAACAAAGCGTGAACATACCAATAGCCGGGATAAATAAAATTGAAACTAATGCCACCAAGGCCTTAGTAACGACCATGCAATCGCAGACGGAAAACTACTCAGTTGAACTAAAGTTCTTACTTCTACCCAGTATAACAAATATTTCGCCATCACAACCGATACCTCCGGAAGAATTAGTAATACCTGCAAATATCCGTTTAGCTGATACCGGTTTCGATAAACCTTCGAAAATAGACGCGATTCTCGGCATGCCCATTTTCTGTGCTTTATGGCACGCCGGACAGATTGTTCAAATCAATGATTCAATATCTTTGCAAAATTCACGATTAGGTTGGATCGCAGTAACGACCGCAAATATGCATTTGCCACGAAGCGTAAAATGCCATACCGCTCTTATAGGATTGCAAGAACAATTAGAAAAGTTTTGGCGCATTGAGCAAACGCCAGAAAGGAAAATCAGATCTCAGGAGGAGGAGTATTGCGAAGCGCACTATGCAAATAATACGCGCCGTGATTCATCGGGTAGATATATAGTAAGACTACCACTCAGGGAAAACGCAAATCAATTAGGGGATTCATACGTTAATGCACTAAAAAGATTTCATGTGCTCGAACGTTCGTTAGCGCGTAAACCGGGGGTACGCGAAGAGTATGCTAAATTTTTATCCGAATACGAGGATTTGGGGCATATGGAAAGGATCGAAGAGCCTTCCCGTACAGAAGGTTATTACTTGCCACATCATGCCGTAACTAAACAATCGAGTATAACAACCAAGCTGCGGGTGGTTTTCGATGCATCCGCGAAATCGAGTAGCGGTCTGTCATTAAATGATATCTTAATGGTCGGCCCAACGATTCAGGAGGACTTATTCACTATTCTCTTAAGATTTCGGTCACATGCATTCGCGCTTACTGCAGACATAGCCAAGATGTATCGGCAAGTAACAATGGATCCGCGTGATCGTATTTATCAGAATATTCTTTGGCGTCGAGGATTAAATGAACCAGTCCAAACGTACCGACTCAAAACAGTAACATATGGCACAGCAACCGCGTCTTTTTTAGCGACTCGCACGCTACATCAACTTGCTAACGACGAATTAAGACAACACCCAAGGGCATCCATTATCTTAAAGGAAGATTTCTATGTCGACGACCTATTAACGGGAGCCCATACGATAGACGAGGCTAGACAAATTCGCGACGAGCTCATAGCGGTGACAAATAAGGCAGGCATGCAACTAAGACAATGGGCTTCAAACAGCATTGAAGTATTAAAGGGTTTAGGTAATAAAAGGGATAACACGTTTATAAGCCTAGACATATCCGCTACGATAAAAACATTAGGAGTACAGTGGAATGCCATGCAGGATATTATAGTGTATTCAGTAAWACATTATGACAATCCCACTAAAATCACCAAGCGCAGTATATTGTCAGAGATTGCACAAATATTCGACCCATTGGGGCTATTGGGGCCCGTTATAATTAAAGCCAAAATGATGATGCAGGAACTATGGCAGATAAAATCGTCATGGGATCAAGAAGTTCCTGACGATATAGGTAGGACTTGGAAAGCATTTCGTCAAAGCTTGCATGAATTAGAGCAAGTAAGATTCGCACGTAGAGTGTTAGGCAACAATATGGAATTAGAAATACACGGATTTTGCGACGCGAGCGAAAAGGCGTACGGGGCATGCATATATATCAAAACAATAGGCAAAAAACCAACGGTTTAATTGGTGTGCGCAAAATCAAAGGTGGCACCTCTCAAGACACAATCGCTTCCGCGTTTGGAATTGTGTGGCGCGGTATTGCTGTCGCGCCTATACATAGCCACTAAGAACGCGCTGCGAAGAATCAAATTTCGTCGTTCAGTGTTTTGGTCGGATTCAGCAATAGGTTTGCATTGGCTCAATACACCACCACATTTACTAAAAACGTTTGTAGCGCATCGAGTAACAGAGATTCTGGAAAATACCGCTCCAGAGCAATGGCGGCACGTAGCATCTGAATATAACCCGGCTGATTTGATATCGCGCGGCGTAACGCCGACCGAGTTCATTAAAAACGAAATGTGGAAAGCAGGACCTTCGTGGCTAATTCAACCAGAATCATACTGGCCACAGCACATAGTGGAAAAAGTAGAAATACCCGATATGAGAAAATTCGTGGCGGTCGCGACGTCCGATGAGCCGTTCGATTTATATAGGCGATATTYCTCATTCCGAAAGTTAAAGCGCATAGTAGCTTACTGCATCAGATTCGCACAGAATGCAAGAGAGTCTTACATAAACAGGGTTGCCGGTGAATTAACAGCAAATGAATTAAAAAACGCGGAAACAATCATAGTCAAATCCGTGCAGAGAGAAGCATTTTTTGAAATAATCAAGCAAATACAATCTGGAAAGGATATTCGCAATTCGATAGTAGCCCTCAGCCCATTCATTGATAATCAAGGAATTCTAAGAGTTGGCGGGAGATTAAGCAAGAGTAATCTACCATATGATCAAAGACATGCGGCATTATTACTAAAGATACATATTATTACTGAACTTATTATACGTGAAAGGCATGAGAAAATTTATCATGGCGGAACACAGGCCACGCCTAATGCCGTTCGCGAAAGTTTTTGGCCTATCAACGGTCGAGCAGAAGTAAAGCGCGTAATAAGCAAGTGTACCGTTTGTCGGCGTATGAGACCAATCATGCTTAATTACAAAATGAGCGATTTACCAGCAAGTCGGTTACAACCAAATCGGCCATTCCTCCACACCGGGGTCGACTTTTGTGGACCAATATTCATAAAGGAAAGGCAGCATCGGAATCGCGGACGAATCAAAGTATATGTAGCAGTTTACGTCTGTTTCACCACAAAGGCGGTGCATTTAGAGATAGTAAGCGATTTGACGACAGATTCATTTTTAGCTTCATTAAGAAGGTTTATGTCTCGCAGGGGGAAATGTTCTGATATTTATTCAGACAATGCAACAAATTTTTTGGGCGCGGCAAACGAAATACAGTCACGCGTTTCTCGAAAGTTGTCCAACGACGGTATTAGGTGGCATTTTATTCCTCCTAGATCACCTCATTTCGGAGGTCTCTGGGAGGCTGCAGTAAAATCCTTTAAGCATCATTTAACTCGAGTGATTGGAGAGACATTACTCACCTACGAAGCATTGCTAACGTATGTTTTAGAAATAGAGGCCATCCTCAATTCTCGCCCTCTCACCCCTTTATCCAATAATCCAAATGACCTACGCGCTCTCACTCCTGGACACTTCTTGATAGGTGACTCGTTGATAAGTTTGCCAGATCACGATTTCAGGAATATACCATGCGGCCGGTTGTCGCAATGGTAACATATACAACAAATGCGACAGCACTTTTGGACACGATGGAGCAGGGAGTATTTGAATAAGCAAACGGTGCGTAAAAAATGGCACAAGGACGCGACGGATAACATAAGGATTGGCACACTAGYTATTCTGAGGGAAGACAATGCTCCTCCTCTTAGGTGGCCATTGGGTSGAGTGACGGAGCTACATACTGGTCCTGACGGCATAACGCGTGTGGTAACGCTAAAAACGGCTAATGGAAAATTAAAGCGAAGTGTCAAACAAGTAGCACCATTACTTAATGACACTGAAACTCTTAATTAAGGACTTTTGAACAGTATCCGTTCAAGGGGGGCGGTATGTTGCGTATTGCGCAATATATGATGTGGACTTGGTGAGTTGTTGCCTGACGCAATCGAAGTTTGGAACAGGGCACAGAAGCGGGACCTACCGGCGCCGTTTCTTTCGGCGTATGCGCTAGCACAAGTGGACACAACGCCGTTTCTTTGAGACAAAGCTTTCCCGCGCAGCTTGATTTTCCTCCACAACCCTAGGCTAGCTCGACGGACCATGGAGAGTGACCCGACGGTCATTGGCCAATCAATTTGGGGAAGGGGGTGCACAGGACTGCCCGTTCCCTATAAAAGGCCATGGAAAATCGTCGATCCAATCCATTCAGTCAGCAACATTCGATTCACATATAACCAACGCATCAAGAACAAGGAAAACTCATCGGCACCCGAC